ACCTCTTTACAGCAGAGAATTCCTTGCTGGTTGACACTGTGCAGGATAATTATTATCAGGGCACTGCAGTATATCTGGAAGGATGAAGGAATGCTGGCTCAGCATCCCTTGGGAAAGCACTGCTCCTCTCAGAGAGTGAAAGCACACATCAAACAGGAGCACAGGAGCTGCACCAGTCCTTCGTGCACTCTGAAAGGCATCGTTGCTTTGAAGTGGAAGGGGTTACAGCACTGCAGCTCTGCGACTGCAGAACAGGTAACAACAGGAATTTCAATAAATACTCACCAGTCCTTGGAAATTCTTTCATTCCTTATTCAGAGATGCTACTCATCCTCCAGAAAATGTTATGTGGTAGAGGCAGGCATTCCTGGGTCCTTTCCTGCCAGGATTAAAATGAAACTTGACTGTTATCTCAAGAATGAGCCCAAAGACCAGACTTAGATTCTGGACAGACTTTTCTCCTCTCAAAGTGCCCTTTTAATAAGCGAGTTGAAGGATTTAAACATAAAGACTCATTCAAAACAGTTGCCTGTGCTCAACTGTCCACGTCCAAACTGAAGTCAAGTCTAGTTTAGGAACTGAAATTAAAGTACAGTATGACTTATTCGGGCTGGCCTTTATTTTGTTTGGTGGATATGGGGAATTTCCTCAGAGACTGTTAAAACAAAAATAGTCTGAGGCTCTTGAAAGGACTAAAACAAGTAACTCCTGGAATACAAAAAGGTTAAATTGCTGCTTAATTCTGGCCTTGCACTTTCGATTGCTAAAGTTCTAAAGGACTGCTGCTGGGTTAGAACTGCATATCATGCAATGGTTTTCATATAACACGAAAAAACACTGAAGCATTTTTATACCAAGTATATATCTAATTCAAATCTATAATGCTGTTTCTCTAATGCTTTTCCAGCGTTTAAGTTACTGCTGTATATATTTTGTAACCAAAACTGCTACTGTCTTGAAGTCTCTGGTCTTGGCTCCTAAAATTTCCATTTATGTTCCGTCGATTTTTCTATAACTTTTCTCCGTAATTCTTTAGCATTGCAATGACCTATAATATTTTGCCCATAGCAAGGAGCTCTGCAATACCATGCTGAGCTTCATATTGACAATGACACTTCTTTACACATTAAACAACGATGACTCTGTGAAAATCATTCCCCGGCAACATAATAGATCCCAGATGTGTTTAAAAAACACAGTATTAGGCTAAACTCTGAATTCTGGCCCGGAATGCATGTGTGCATCTCCCAGGGCAGTCATTCAGCACTTAGAAAAAGTAAACTCACCACTGTAATGCACATGGCAGAGAGCTGAGTTCCAGCCACCAGGGGAATGATCTGGCCCCAGTCTTGCATTCCATGACCCCTGTGCTCTGATGGGAAGGAGGCCACGGGGACTGACTGTAATTCCTGCACTCAGAACTGCCCAGCCCTGCTACAATTTATTGTTGCACAGGAACAGCTGTGACCTGACACCCTCCTTCTTGCCAGGGCCTCTACACTGAGCAGGACAAGTGAGGGCATGGCACGAACAACAAGGGGAGTCCTTGTCTGTGCCATCAGTATGGTGCTGTACCTGGCAGAGAATGGATCGAGGTATTCCCTCGGAATTACTGCAGCTTTCTTCACTTGGCCTAATCTGTTGAAGAAAGGGTATTTTCCCTGTCCTGAATTTCCATGTGAGCTCCCCCAGTCTATCTTTCAGATGTAGCTGTTGAGCTGCTCAGTTCAATGAGGGGC